AGGATTGTTCTGGAAGGGAGGGAAGGAGAGGGAAAGAGAGTGGAGTGAGTTTCACACATTGTACCCATGTGGGGAATCGAACCCGGACCTTCAGCCTGTTGAGCGGAGGCTTTAACCACTAGGCTACCCCCATCGCCCAGGAAGAGAGTGGGAAGATCTGCAAATGTATGAATTCTCACAGTGATTAGTGCTTCATGTTGATTGGTTGGTCTGTTCATATGAGCCACTACTTATGGCTGCATGACATCATCCAGGTGCCTTAATTAGTTGAACCTGACATCCGTGGCTGATGTGTCACAGTGAGTGAGTGAGTGAGTGAGTGAGTGAGTGAGTGAGTGAGTGAGTGAGTGAGTGAGTGAGTGAGTGAGTGAGTGAGTGAGTGAGTGAGTGAGTGAGTGAGTGAGTGAGTGAGTGAGTGAGTGAGTATGGTTTTTCGCCGCTTTTAGCAATATTCCAGCAATATCATGGTGGGGGACACCAGAAAATGGGCTTCACATATTGTACCCACGTGGGGAATCGAACACGGGTCTTCGGCGTGAAGAGCCAATGCTTTAACCACTAGGCTACCCCATCGCTCCTGATGATGTGTCACAGGTAAAACTGGGTTCATGTCCTTCTTCTGATCAAGAAGCCCTGCTTATCTACATTTTATCAGAAACAAATCAGGTGAAACATAGAAATTCCTACCTGCAACTTGGAATTACTATTATTTATGAACTAATGTCCCTATGCTCAGATACACGTGTAGAACCTGTTAGAACTGGTCTTCAGTAACCCCTGCTTGTCGTCAGAGGCGGCTAAGGGGATCAGGTGATCAGGTTAGCCAACTTGGTTGACACATGTCATCGTATGGCCATTGCATAAATTGATGCCCATGTTGTTGATTGTCTGGTCCACACTCGATTATCTACAAACACTCCTCAATAAAAGTAGCTACACTTGTCAACAGAGGAGGCAACATTCAATAACAGAAGTAACATGACTTGTCAACAGAGTAGGCAACACTCATCAACAGAAGTAACATGACTTGTCAACAGAGGAGGCAACACTCATCAACAGAAGTAACATGACTTGTCAACAGAGGAGGCAACATTCATCAACAGAAGTAACATGACTTGTCAACATGGAGGCATCACTCATCAACAGAAGTAACATGACTTGTCAACAGAGTAGGCAACACTCATCAACAGTAGTAACATGACTTGTCAAGAGAGGAGGCAACATTCATCAACAGAAGTAACCAGACTTGTCAACATGGAGGCATCACTCATCAACAGAAGTAACATGACTTGTCAACAGAGGAGGCAACATTCATCAACAGAAGTAACATGACTTGTCAACAGAGGAGGCAACATTCATCAACAGAAGTAACATGACTTGTCAACAGAGGAGGCAACACTCATCAACAGAAGTAACATGACTTGTCAACAGAGTAGGCAACACTCATCAACAGAAGTAACATGACTTGTCAAGAGAGGAGGCAACATTCATCAACAGAAGTAACATGACTTGTCAACAGAGGAGGCAACACTCATCAACAGAAGTAACATGACTTGTCAACAGAGGAGGCAACACTCATCAACAGAAGTAACATGACTTGTCAACAGAGTAGGCAACACTCATCAACAGAAGTAACATGACTTGTCAAGAGAGGAGGCAACATTCATCAACAGAAGTAACATGACTTGTCAACAGAGGAGGCATCACTCATCAACAGAAGTAACCAGACTTGTCAACAGAGGAGGCAACGCTCATCAACAGAAGTAACCAGACTTGTCAACAGAGGAGGCAACATTCATCAACAGAAGAAACCAGACTTGTCAAGAGAGGAGGCAACACTCATCAACAGAAGTAACCAGACTTGTCAACATGGAGGCAACATTCATCAACAGAAGTAACCAGACTTGTCAACAGAGGAGGCATCACTCATCAACAGAAGTAACCAGACTTGTCAACAGAGGAGGCAACGCTCATCAACAGAAGTAACCAGACTTGTCAACAGAGGAGGCAACACTCATCAACAGAAGTAACATGACTTGTCAACAGAGGAGGCAACACTCATCAACAGAAGTAACATGACTTGTCAACATGGAGGCAACACTCATCAACAGAAGTAACATGACTTGTCAACAGAGGAGGCAACACTCATCTACAGAAGTAACCAGACTTGTCAACAGAGGAGGCAACACTCATCAACAGAAGTAACAAGACTTGTCAACAGAGGAGGCATCACTCATCAACAGAAGTAACCAGACTTGTCAACAGAGGAGGCAACATTCATCAACAGAAGTAACATGACTTGTCAACATGGAGGCAACACTCATCAACAGAAGTAACATGACTTGTCAACAGAGGAGGCAACATTCATCAACAGAAGTCACCAGACTTGTCAACAGAGGAGGTAACATTCATCAACAGAAGTCACCAGACTTGTCAACAGAGGAGGCAACATTCATCAACAGAGGTAACATGACTTGTCAACAGAGGAGGCAACACTCATCAACAGAAGTAACATGACTTGTCAACAGAGGAGGCAACACTCATCAACAGAAGTAACATGACTTGTCAACAGAGGAGGCAACACTCATCAACAGAAGTAACCAGACTTGTCAACAGAGGAGGCATCATTCATCAACAGAAGTAACATGACTGGTCAACAGAGGAGGCAACACTCATCAACAGAAGTAACATGACTTGTCAACATGGAGGCAACACTCATCAACAGAAGTAACCAGACTTGTCAACAGAGGAGGCATCATTCATCAACAGAAGTAACATGACTTGTCAACATGGAGGCCACATTCATCAACAGAAGTAACATGACTTGTCAACAGAGGAGGCAACACTCATCAACAGAAGTAACATGACTTGTCAACAGAGGAGGCAACACTCATCAACAGAAGTAACCAGACTTGTCAACAGAGGAGGCATCATTCATCAACAGAAGTAAAATGACTTGTCAACATGGAGGCAACATTCATCAACAGAAGTAACATGACTTGTCAACAAAGGAGGCAACACTCATCAACAGAAGTAACATGACTTGTCAACAGAGGAGGCAACACTCATCAACAGAAGTAACATGACTTGTCAACAAAGGAGGCAACACTCATCAACAGAAGTAACATGACTTGTCAACAGAGGAGGCAACACTCATCAACAGAAGTAACATGACTTGTCAAGAGAGGAGGCAACACTCATCAACAGAAGTAACCAGACTTGTCAACAGAGGAGGCATCATTCATCAACAGAAGTAACATGACTTGTCAACAAAGGAGGCAACACTCATCAACAGAAGTAACATGACTTGTCAACAGAGGAGGCAACACTCATCAACAGAAGTAACATGACTTGTCAACAGAGGAGGCATCATTCATCAACAGAAGTAACATGACTTGTCAACAGAGGAGGCATCATTCATCAACAGAAGTAACATGACTTGTCAACAAAGGAGGCAACACTCATCAACAGAAGTAACATGACTTGTCAACAAAGGAGGCAACACTCATCAACAGAAGTAACATGACTTGTCAACAGAGGAGGCAACACTCATCAACAGAAGTAACATGACTTGTCAACAGAGGAGGCATCATTCATCAACAGAAGTAACATGACTTGTCAACAAAGGAGGCAACACTCATCAACAGAAGTAACATGACTTGTCAACAGAGGAGGCAACACTCATCAACAGAAGTAACCAGACTTGTCAACAGAGGAGGCATCATTCATCAACAGAAGTAACATGACTTGTCAACAAAGGAGGCAACACTCATCAACAGAAGTAACATGACTTGTCAACATGGAGGCAACACTCATCAACAGAAGTAACCAGACTTGTCAACAGAGGAGGCATCATTCATCAACAGAAGTAACATGACTTGTCAACATGGAGGCCACATTCATCAACAGAAGTAACATGACTTGTCAACAGAGGAGGCAACACTCATCAACAGAAGTAACATGACTGGTCAACAGAGGAGGCAACACTCATCAACAGAAGTAACCAGACTTGTCAACAGAGGAGGCATCATTCATCAACAGAAGTAAAATGACTTGTCAACATGGAGGCAACATTCATCAACAGAAGTAACATGACTTGTCAACAGAGGAGGCAACACTCATCAACAGAAGTAACATGACTTGTCAACAGAGGAGGCAACACTCATCAACAGAAGTAACATGACTGGTCAACAGAGGAGGCAACACTCATCAACAGAAGTAACATGACTTGTCAACATGGAGGCAACACTCATCAACAGAAGTAAAATGACTTGTCAACATGGAGGCAACACTCATCAACAGAAATAACATGACTTGTCAACAGAGGAGGCAACACTCATCAACAGAAGTAACATGACTTGTCAACAGAGGAGGCAACACTCATCAACAGAAGTAACATGACTTGTCAACAGAGGAGGCAACACTCATCAACAGAAGTAACATGACTTGTCAACAGAGGAGGCAACACTCATCAACAGAAGTAACATGACTTGTCAACAGAGGAGGCAACACTCATCAACAGAAGTAACATGACTTGTCAACAGAGGAGGCAACACTCATCAACAGAAGTAACATGACTTGTCAACAGAGGAGGCAACATTCATCAACAGAAGTAACATGACTTGTCAACAAAGGAGGCAACACTCATCAACAGAAGTAACATGACTTGTCAACAGAGGAGGCAACACTCATCAACAGAAGTAACATGACTTGTCAACAGAGGAGGCAACACTCATCAACAGAAGTAACATGACTTGTCAACAGAGGAGGCAACACTCATCAACAGAAGTAACATGACTGGTCAACAGAGGAGGCAACACTCATCAACAGAAGTAACATGACTTGTCAACAAAGGAGGCAACACTCATCAACAGAAGTAACATGACTTGTCAACAGAGGAGGCAACACTCATCAACAGAATTAACCAGACTTGTCAACAGAGGAGGCAACACTCATCAACAGAAGTGGCAAGACAAGTTGAGAGAAACAGCAACACTTGATACAAGTAACAAAATTTATTGACAGAAGTACAACTACTTCCCACAATAGCCTGTATTTATATTTTCACAAATGACACATTTGGGTGCTTTCTTGCTTATTAAAATACACTCTTGTTTTCAATATATCATCATACACTCACATCAATGTAATACATCTGTCAAGTGATGTATAAAGTTATGATGTGTCCTTGAGATTATCAGTGTTTGAACAGTATTCATGCATCAATAGATTATTATCTATTGCTTCATATTTGTGATCTGGTGGAAATCTGTTGAATTACAACACCCATAAGGCAAATGTTAGCTGCCATGGTGACAGGGTTCAGACATCCTTGATCACCATCACCTGGTGTTGCCACCGGGAATAATGTTCCTGAACATTCCCCATCATTTATATCATAATCACAAGGATCCTAATCAATTTGCACTTTAGCTGCTGATATTCTCATCCATCCTCACTGGCAACATTATGTAGTGACAATACCAGGGTCCTTCAGGGGTTATATCTTTTTAATCCAGGGTCACCTGAGAAATTGTTGACCTCAAACGTCCACACACTCCAATGTTATGATACATGACATTTTCACTCACCCCTTCTGACTGTCAGGTCACTGCACACAACACACAATAGCATATATCAGTCCTTTATAATTAGTAAACTCAAACATATAAGTCTTTGGCAACTAGCCCATTCAATCATCAGTCTTTGCCAACTACTCTTTTCAATCATCAGTCTTTGGCAACTAGTCAACTCAAACATCAGTCTTTGGCAACTACTCCTTTCAATCATCAGTCTTAGTGAGCTCGTCAACTCCATCATCAGTCTTTACCAACCAGTAAAATTCATACATCAGTCCTTGCCAACTAGTCAATTCAAACATACTTCTTTGCTAACAAGTCCACTCAAAACTCAACATTACAATAAAATGAAATGCACAAACATACTATTTTCAAACTGTAATCAAAAACAATGAAACTATGAAACAAACAGATACTGGTTTTAGAAATTTGGATTTCATGGCCCACTGTAAACCTTCACTGATACAGTGACTAAGGTGGTCCGCTGTTAATTATCCATCACCATCAGGTAGTACACACGAGGCCCTCATCACAAGACCCTCATCACGAGGCCCTCATCACGGGACCCTCATCACAAGACCCTTATCACGAGGCCCTCATCACGAGGCCCTCATCACGAGACCCTCATCACGAGACCCTCGTCACGAGACCCTCATCACAAGACCCTCATCACGAGGCCCTCATCAGGAGGCCCTCATCACAAGACCCTCATCACGAGATCCTCATCACAAGACCCTCATCACAAGACCCTCGTCACAAGACCCTCATCACAAGACCCTCATCACAAGGCCCTCATCACACGTCCCTCATCACAAGACCCTCATAACGAGACCTGCATCTCAAGGAAGAACAATGATTTGTGAGGAAGGTACCCACACTGGGGCAGAGTCCACTGTCCTGATCAGCCTCCCTGATCCATGGTCATCCTTTCTGATGAGGATTGGCAATATAAAGTTACTTATGAACACTGTCAAATTTTCTCAAAAGGATACATTTGAATGTTATTCTCCCCCTGTTGCGAATCTGCAAAAGACAGACACATCTGGTTGTCATCAACCTTCCCCATGAGGTAGGCAGGGCACAGCCATTTGGGGTATACTAGTAACCAACCTTATATTTGGTTGGCATACACACGAGGAGACAATACACAACTATACTTGGTCGTGGTTCCCCTTCTCCTGAGAAAGGCAATATACTGCTGCTACACACGTGTATCAGCTCTGGTACATTCCCTTCTTGACAAACACAGGCAATGTACAGCTACTACACGTGTGTATCAGCTCTGGTACATTCCCTTCTTGACAAACACAGGCAACATACAGCTACTACACACGTGTATCAGCTCTGGTACGTTCCCTTCTTGACAAAGACAGGCAACATACAGCTACTACACACGTGTATCAGCTCTGGTACGTTCCCTTCTTGACAAACACAGGCAATATACAGCTACTACACGTGTGTATCAGCTCTGGTACATTCCCTTCTTGACAAACACAGGCAATATACTGCTACTGCATGTGTGTATCAGCTCTGATACGTTCCCTTCTTGACAAAGACAGGCAACATACAGTTGGTACACTACACGCAGGTTTCAGCTCTGGTGCGCTCCTTCTTGACAAAGACAGGCAATGTACAGCTACTACACGTGTGTATCAGCTCTGGTACATTCCCTTCTTGACAAACACAGGCAATATACTGCTACTACATGTGTGTTTCAGCTCTGGTACATTCCCTTCTTGACAAAGACAGGCAACATACAGCTACTACACATGTGTTTCAGCTCTGGTACGTCCCCTTCTTGACAAAGACAGGCAATATACAGCTACTACATGCGCAAAACACAGGCAACATATCAGCTCTGGTACATTCCCTTGACAAACAAAGACAGGCAATATACTGCTACTACATGTGTGTTTCAGCTCTGGTACGCTCCTTCTTGACAAAGACAGGCAATATACAGCTACTACACGTATACGGCTATGCGAAAGGCGTATCAGCTCTGGTACATTCCTTCTTGACAAACACAGGCAATATACAGTTACTACATGTGTGTTTCAGCTCTGGTACATTCCCTTCTTGACAAAGACAGGCAATATACTGCTACTACATGTGTGTTTCAGCTCTGGTACGTTCCCTTCTTGACAAAGACAGGCAATATACAGCTACTACACGTGTGTATCAGCTCTGGTACATTCCCTTCTTGACAAACACAGGCAATATACTGCTACTACATGTGTGTTTCAGCTCTGGTACGTTCCCTTCTTGACAAAGACAGGCAATATACAGCTACTACACGTGTGTATCAGCTCTGGTACATTCCCTTCTTGACAAAGACAGGCAACATACAGCTACTACACGTGTGTATCAGCTCTGGTACATTCCCTTCTTGACAAAGACAGGCAATGTACAGCTACTACACGTGTGTATCAGCTCTGGTACATTCCCTTCTTGACAAAGACAGGCAATATACTGCTACTACATGTGTGTTTCAGCTCAAGTACATTCCCTTCTTGACAAACACAGGCAACATACAGCTACTACACGTGTGTATCAGCTCTGGTACGTTCCCTTCTTGTCTTTTTGAGGTCGCTTCCAAATGGAGTAGAGTTTGCGCACCTCGTCCCACAGCACAAGACTGATGACTGTATGGGGCCCGAGTCGAAAGTAGCTTGCCCCCCAGCCTTTGTAGAACCCCCAGATACCCTCCTTCCTGAGAATCTTCACGAGGCAATCAGACACGCCAGAGTACAGCAAGCCCTTTCCACGTGCATCCACACCTTGGTTATAGAGTCGGGTCGTCACGACATCGAACGGTGTCATGAAGCAGGTGACAATTATACCGCTGGCCATGCTGGCCACGAGAGCATTCATCCAGCTGTCTTTAGGAAACCACTGAAATGTTGATTACAAATGTGTTAATCAGTTGAGGAAGTGAAGCGCTCAGCAATGGTTATATTACTTTTAAACAATAATATTCAGATAATATTCAGATTCAGTTATACATATATATATATCCAGCTGGGTGAACACTGAAACTACTTCACAGAGTTCCTGCCCTTTGAATAGAATTAAAGTAGTACACTAGGGTAAGACATTGGGGAGACATAACATAAGCATATCACATATTAAAGGTGTACTACATGGTGCATGACAGACATATCTATTCATGACCAGGGCCACAAGTAGTAATGTATTGCAGTGTAGGAAATGGATATATAACATGTGTGTGACAGTGTATATGACATGGATATATCACAGGTGTGTCACATTGTGTATGACATGGATATATAATGTGTGTATGACATGGTTAAATAACATAGGTGTGTCACATTGTATTACATGGATATATAACATGTGTGTGACAGTGTATATGACATGGATATATAACAGGTCAGTGTTTACTTAATAGTGTTTCAAAGTAACAGGACATTGGGTCCTGTAAGTTTCAGATGTCTGTCTGACCCATTGAAGGTTCACAGGACCCATGGAATAACATTAAACACACATTTCAGATTTAACATAATTGGCATTGAAATTATTAACAGGCATAAGATTTATAAACAGCAAACAAGTGTCATATGTCACATATAACAACTTCAGTCAAAGTCAATGTGAAATATACAGTCAAACACTGGGGCCGGCAGGTTGTAGACTTCTATCGGACCGTTGGCGAATCTGCCGGATTTGTCAGACGGTCAGACACTATTCGTGAACACTGCAGGTGTGTCACATTGTGTATGACATGGATATATAATGTGTGTATGACATGGTTAAATAACATAAGTGTGTCACATTGTATAACATGGGTCTATAACACAGGTGTATGACATGGATATATAACATAGGTGTGTGACATTGTGTATGAAATGGATGTATAACAGGTGTGTGACATGGATATATAACATAGGTGTCACATTGTGTATGTCATGGATATATAACAGGTGTGTGACATTGTGTATGACATGGATATATAACAGGTGTGTGACATTGTGTATGACATGGATATATAACATACTGTGTGACACTGTGTGTGACATGGATATATAACATAGTTGCGTGACATTGTGCATGACATTGATATATAACATAGGTGTCACACTGTGTATGACATGGATATATAACAGGTGTGTGACATTGTGTATGACATAGGTGTGTGACAATGTGTATGACATGGATAAATAACATAGGTGTTTGACACTGTGTGTGACATGGATATATAACAGGTGTGTCACATTGTGTATGACATACATACAGGTGTATGGTATGGGTGTATAGGTGTACCACATTTTTATCATACACCATGTCAGATCCCCGCTGTGGTGTAGTGGATACACCTTCACAGACTCTTCTGTGGTCACGCCTACTGTTTTATATATTTGGCTCTACCCACAACACCACAGTGGGGATCTGACATGGTGTATGAGGTTGGTGTATGATAAAAATGTGTTTCATTGGCTCTACCCACTACACCACAGCGGAAATCTGACATGGTGTATGATAAAGATGTGTTATATCATTGGGTCTACCCACTACACCACAGCGGAGATCTGACATGGTGTATGATAAAGATGTGTTATATCACTGGGTCTACCCACCACACCACAGCGGGGATCTGACATGGTGTATGATAAAGATGAGTTATATCACTGGGTCTACCCACTACACCACAGCGGGGATCTGACATGGTGTATGATAAAGATGTGTTATATCACTGGGTCTACCCACCACACCACAGCGGGGATCTGACATGGTGTATGATAAAGATGTTATATCACTGGCTCTACCCACTACACTGCAGCAGGGAACTGACATGGTGTATGATGTTGGTGTATGACAAAGATGTTATATCACTGGCTCTACCCACTACACTGCAGCAGGGACCTGACATGGTGTATTTTGTTGGTGTATGGCACAGATACACATTGGTCCACACTGATCAGAATCAGGTGGTCATTATGTGTGACTAGTTGAGTACAGTGTGTGAAATTTACACTGGTCCTGTGGTCCCTGGGTAGTAAAACTTCATCATGACCACTAAATAATAAGTCTGCAGTGGTCCTGGTGGCCAGTGAATTTTGTATTGATAGTTAAGTAAATCCATGAATGTTATTTTGGACCAGTGAAGTACAGACAGGACCACTAATTATTGTTCACTCACTGGTACTGTGGTCTAGTGGGAAATTTTGAAAGGTTTCTTTCCCTGTGAGTACTGGATCTGGAATATACTTTCACTTTCAGGCAACAGAGAAAAGCAATGTATGTATAGTCCTAAGCTGTATGCATCAGTGGTGAATAGATGAAGTAACATATGCCGGTGATCTATCATACACAAGCAAAGCTATGTCAGCGCTATGAAGACCCCGTATCCCACACTTTAACCCAGACTTACTATAGTCATAACACCAACATAGCTCTCTGCATGTGGACCCTGGATGTACCTACAGAGTTTAACATGATAACTAGACAATACATCTGCACAGTACGGTGCAATATTGCAAACAACAGTGATTACCATGGAACAGGAGTAATACAATGTTTCCATCAACAAAATAATTGCAAATCACTGAAGGAGTCGCCAGCTGCATCCTCTGGCAGTAAACTATTTCACATAGGAAGGCATACAGCTGTCTACAAACACACAGCACAAACCTTGTATTCCACAATGTAATCCTTGGCGACAGAAAAAGTGGACAGCTGTGATGCCGGATCCTACTGTTACCCGGCAGACGGCTGCGTTGACCCCTCGCCACAATCCCACCAGCCCAAACTGGGAGTATATAGTTCGTATCCCATGACTCATGCTCTCATGGGGATGCTGGGTCCCCACGGCGATGTCCCGTACAGCCTGGGCCTGAAGATGGGTCTTCACCTGCACACACACAAACACAGTCATGCACCATGTGCACCAGTGGCCTGGAATAGGTGAGAGATAACTAAAGTCCTATGCCGAGTGCAAGGTAAAAGGCATAATCCTAATAATTGTGGAAGAAGCCGTGGCTGAATGGGTTAGGCGGCTGACTTGCTGGCGATTAGGTGGGTGTGGGTTTGAATCGTAGATGGGACTGAACGCAACTAAAGTACTGGAATCTGTACTTTACTGAGAAAGTGCAATCCCAGATAAAACACATGTTACATCTGATACTTTCTAAATGGCGTTGTGTATTCAAGTAATAATCTGAATAATCAGTGTAAATTAATGGTTAGTCTCAACACCGATGAGAAGATAATCAAAGTTTACAAGTTTCAGGCTTTATACATGTACTACCATGGACACTTAATACTGGCTATGTAGCATGCTTCTGTGATGGATGCTAAATATTGATAATAAGTGTCCATGGTAGTATGGGGCCTACTTATAGGTGCTGTGAAGTATCAGAGTTCTTCAATGAGCCAATATGAGTAGTCTCCCTTCTACCATGGACACTTATCAACATTTAGCATCCACTGCGAATCATGATACTACATAGTCAATATAGGTATAAGACCTACTACTATGGACATTTATTATCGATATTCAGTGTTCGTGACAGAATCATGATACTACAGACTAGATCTATACAACTATGGACACAAAATATTGATGTTTATAGCTATGACAGAATCATGACACTTCCCAACTAATATAAGTAGGATCCTACTCCACATATCCTACCAAACACACTCCCATCCAGTGTGCGAAATAGTTTCCAAATCTTGCTAGTCAGCTGGGCTAGCTATGCCTGAAAGGTACTAGCCCAGAAAATAATTCACTAGCCCAAAATTTGAATGTAGAAACTAAGCAATAGGTTACAAAAATAGATGAGTGTAAGATATTGTCGGAATGACAAGGGTTTCATCATTAAGCTGCTAATAATGATGAACATCTTTATCAGGCCATAATCTTGCATGATTAAAAGTGTATTACAACCGAACAAGTCGGAGAGAGTGATACATTTACATGAAAATGACCCCATGAAAATTCACTAGCCAGTCGGGCCAGTGACTGGAGATTTACTGGCCCGACTGGATTGTTACTAGACATGGGCTAGCAGGCCAGTTGCTATTTCGGACACTGCTCCCATCTGAACATACCATGTAAAATGGGCTCCTCCCTACAAACACACTCCCATCTGAACATACCATGTAAAATGGGCTCCCGACCATGGCTCCAACACATCCTGCAAATGCTCCTGCCATGATGCTGCGTACAAAGCTTGGATGTCCAGTTTTGTCCATGGTCATCCCCAGGTTTATCAGGAGTTGGTAGCTGCCCAGACGGATGCCGTTCATGAAGAACTGGTACCACAGTGCAGGGACCAGGCCACTCTGCAGGGCCAATACTCCATCGTTTTTGGCTACGGTGTAGAAGGCATGGGCAGCGTTCCTGTAGTGGATGGCGTACTGGCCCCTTGACTGGAGTTCACCCTGGAGCTGCATTCGCGTCTTCACAACCTCCAGGGGGTTTGTGAAAAAGCCTGCCCCACATGTGGCTATTCCCCAACACAAACTCCACCGCGCCATGCTTCTCGGACATGTTGTAAACAGGACGCAGGTATGTTGACTGTGATCAGTCAGTAGAAATGTGGTTTTGAGTTTGTGTGAAATGTGTCAGGTATGGCACCATCTGGTCGACAGTAAGCAGTGGCAAGTCAGTGTTTTGCGTGATTGTCATTCAGCTCAATTGCTGTTGTAATAACGTACTCATGTATAGTGACAGCCGTGCGTGAAGCAAGCCAGTGTTCCGGGCGACTGGGTCAAGGAAGCACGTGATAACGGGTTCAATGGCTTGCTTTGATTAATGTTTGTCGCCAACTATGAGAGGAGAATACAAACCCGCCAGGACGAAAGCAGACGTGAATTCCTTGCCTCACACTAGCAGACGACGTGTTGGTGCACTGTCAGCCAAAGTCAAATTCATTCTGTCACGTTCAGCGAGGTATTTCACAATGGCACGTGCCACAAAGCTTACCGGCGGCAATAAATCATGTGTTTAATCTCCGTGTGTGTCTGATGTGTGCTCATTAAGAAAACAGCGCGTGCTTGCACATCGCGTGGAACATCATAGGAAGCGAAATGACTTGCAGCGTGACCAAATGACGAAACTTCCGGCAAGCGCCAATATTTAGAGTTGTCTCCCCTAGAACGTACTCGGCCAGGGTTTTTTTCCAGAGACAGGAACAATACCAGCCTGGTTCTTCTGGGTCTGTTGCGCCTGCGCTAACGCTCCGACACACTCGAGCGTTAGCGCAGGCGCAATACAGACCCAGGGGACCAGGCTGGACCAATACGTGACAACTCGTGTTATTCCGTGACGAGCCTTGCAGTTAACGGAAAGGGACGAATAGGTGACGGATGAGACAGATCGTAGTCAATCTACGTCCCGCTATGGTTGTGACAATATTTATGCATAAAAGAACGAACTTCTTTGAGTGGCATTTTCAGAAGTTGAAGAGTCTGATAAGGACGAACTTTATGGATGAACAACTTCTTTATTTAGGTGATGTGACGTTTCGATACAGTTTCTTGTATTGTTGCCAAGTAGGTATGAAACAGACATGTGATGTGATGAAAAGGGACTACAAGAACGAACCATGATAATTAATTGTCATTGATTTCCACGCCAAACCAGGTCGGGGACACCTCACTGTGCCTCCACCTATTGTTCTAGGTAGAGGTTCAGTCGGCCATTGTAGGTAGGTAAACAATGGTCGGATTAACTACAGTCTGTTGCAGTAAAGAGATTAAAATAATTACGAAAAAAACCTAGAATACTTTGTTTACATAATTTATTCATGTCACTGTACACATTGCACACATACATACATACATACATACATACATACATACATACATACATACATACATACATACATACATACATACATACATACATACATACATACATACATACATACATACATATATATATATATATATATATACGTGTAAATATTATGTGTTATGTGTTATATATATATATATATATATATATATATAACACATAATATTTACACGTATGTTTCACTTGACATTTTTCTTTAGACATTTACAATCCAACCAAATGCGACACAGCATCAGCACATCCTTATTCAGATCGATCTTCTTCATTGGTACGTAAGCCTGACATACATACAAACATACAGACATACAGGATATCCATACATACAGATTTACAGACAGACATCCATGCATACATATATACAGACAGACAGACATACACGCACAGACAGACAGACATACACAGAGACAGACAGACAGACATGCATATATATTACAGCAAATACACTACATACTCCACAAATAGTGATGTAATCTAAGAAGTTGGTGAATTATGCAAGTATAATTAATCAAATAACATTTTTTACAGGTTTGCTCTCATTGCAGACAGAATGCCGAGGTAATAGCGCCAAAATAATAATTCTGGAAATTCCCTGGAAGGAAATTCATGTGAGCATTTAGAGCTAAAAGTATGTTTGGTTTAAAGATACACAATCAAACAGCTACTGTATATTATCAGAAGGCTTCTTGTCACGGTGGTAGCGTATTTCTTCGTTTGTCAGTTGTATACAATGGTGTATGATAACGTTAAGCTGCTTTACCTAACATGCGTTTAATTGTTAATAATTGTTCAATACCACGAGGAAATGCTGAGTATTTAGACAATTTGGACAGGGTCCTGTGAATTGTAAGAATCGACCGTATAAATGATTTTCAATCTTAATACGTCAGAAAGTAAGTGTTGTAGGTATAACTTGATGGTTAGTACACCTTTCAATAGGAACCTAGAAAATACTGAAAGATAATAAAAGAGGAACGGACAAAATATGCATTCGAACGAAATGAAACATTTATTTGTGGATTGACTTTTTGTCAATCACTGAGCAATACCGTAGGCCACACGTCAAAGACACATTACTCACCAAGGCTACACACACACATTACTCACCAAGGCTACACACGCACACATTGGTCACTAAGTCTACACACACATCGGTCACCAAGGCTACACATACACTGGTCAGCAAGGCTACACACACATCGGTCACCAAGGCTACACACGCACACATTGGTCACTAAGGCTACACACACATTGGTCACCAAGGCTACACATACACTGGTCACCAAGGCTACACACACATTGGTCACCAAGGCTATTCACACACTGGTAGTGTTACAGTACATCCAGAAATTATTGAGAATTTAAAGATTGTAATTTTTTTTTTTTTCACTCATTACTCACGTATTAAATGTGAATATTACCAGAACAGAACTCCAGATTCAAAGACAGGTGAACAGTTAGTATTTTGTCAAGTCACCATGGGCAGCAATGCAGGCTTCAATGCGGCGGGGCATACAACTGATCAAAGAAGTTAAAAAGTCGTGGTCCATGCTGTCCCAATATCGGACCACCTCTTCTTTCATTTCTGCAATATTTGTCAGATTTGTCTTATTGACACTTTCCTTCATAAGTCCCCAAACATTTTCTATTGGATTTAGGTCAGGGCTATAGCTTGGCCAATCTAATAATGTCATATTTTGGGTCCGAAACCAGGCCTGTGAATGCTTTGAACGATGTTTTGGGTCGTTGTCCTGCTGGAAAATTGAAAAATTTCAATAGAACACGTGAGCAGATGGAAGTAAATATCCCTCGAGAATATCAGTGTACCGCTCACTGTTCATATTCTCTTCAAATACACAGAGGAGCGTTGCCCCTAACACAGATATGCCACACCACACGTTAAATTTCGGACTGTACTTTGGGCGCTGATACAAAGGTTTTTCAGTTTGTTTGGTCCAGAATTTCAGTGTATTAGGAAACAGCCACACAGAACTTTCATCTGAGAAAATTACATTGTCCTAGTTAAAATTTAAATGCTGTAAGCACCAGTTCAACCTTCGCTCCTTTTGTTCAGGTTTCATGATCGGTGATGGAACTCCTCGACTTTTCTGCCAACCCGTTGCATGCAGCTCAGTTCTAATTGTCTCCTTACAGACAGCCACATTTCCTCTATCAATCATATCCAGCCTTAAGTTTTCTAAACTCCTTCGTTTGTTTTTAGAAACAAGAATACCAAGCCGCTTCCTGTCACCGACAGTCAATTTTCTGGGCCTACCTGCGCCTCCCTGGTGCTCAATGCCGTATCCATTTGCAATATTTTTCAAAACACGATAAACAGTGGACAAAGGGATGCCTGTTCTACTTGAAATCACTTTAGCTGATCTGATGTCCTTGTTATAATACTCTAAAATCAACTTCCTCTTCTCTAAATCATTCATAATGAGGATCACTGAAAATGTCGTCTGCTAGCAAGTAAACAGAGGGGGATAACTCTTCACAAACTAATGAAAGGATTAACGGAGTTGTCTCTCTTGAATGAAACCAAGCACTTGATAGTTGGTCAAGGTTGTTTATACTAGAAATCCAATTAAACATATTCCTAAAATTCTCAATAATTTCCCGCATACTATATAAGGTTGCAGCGGAAAATATATATCTTGAAGACATTTTGTAGAAAATGGGGTCTAGAAATCAACACGAATACGACTGAAATACTAGTGTTTAGGAACGGGACCTATAAATAGTATAGAAAACGTGAAATACGGGAATATAGACGTTAAAGTTTTATCTTATTACAACTGTTTAGGCATCATTTTATCATCCCGAATTTCATGGAGAAAAGGTGTTAACAATTTAGTTTTGACGGCAAATAAGGCGCTCTTCGCAATAATATCACTACAGAGAAATCAGCAAGAATGGTGTTACACAGTTTGTGAATCTAGAACACTGACCACCTATCAATGATTTAAATCATTATTGAATACAGAATATTACCTGACAACCATTACGACCAGAGAATCACACCGACTGCTGTTTCTAGTAAGATCTGTCGCACTCCCCCTAAGAATAGATATACGGGAAGGTGGGAACGAATACCGCCAGAAGAGAGAACATGTTTTATTCTTATTATATTTGTTTTAATGTTTCATACTATTTTACAGTTTCACATGGGCTCCATCGTGCAGGGTAGAGATCAAGAGATGAAGTCAGGTTTGGTTATACAGAGCATGTAGCAATGACAATGCAAAATAAATCAGTCGTTGAACAGGTTGTGACATGCCGACCAGAATTTGTAAAAAGCGTCGACTCTGGAGCTTAACATAGCTGCATATTTGGTTAAATTATAATATTGAGTAAGCCTTTTCAACATGAACTGAAATGTTGGCATATTTCCGGATGTGTTACGATTAAAAATAATACTTTTGAAAAGGATGAGGATCCTTCTTTGACGTTCAATGCCCATGTTAACCAAGTGAGCAAAACATGCTTCTTCCATCTCAGGTCGATCAGCAACATTCGCCAGTACTTGACTTCTGCAGCAACTCAAGCCCTTGTTCGAGCTCTAGTAACATCCAGGCTCGACTATTGTAACAGTGTTCTTTCTGGCATCAACTCCAATCTGATTGATAAACTGCAGAGGATTCAAAACACCTCTGCCCGCATTATCAGTAGAACTTCTAAACGTGTCCACATCACTCCTGTCCTTAAAGAACTCCACTGGCTTCCAGTCAAGGCAAGAATCGATTTCAAAATTCTCTCCCTGACGTACAAATGTCTCCATGGCTTGGCCCCTTCCTACCTCTCTGACCTGCTTCACCCATATGTACCTGCCCGCAGTCTCCGTTCCAACTCTCAGAATCTTCTTGTGATACCCTCCTACAAACTGAAATCTTTCGGACACCGCAGCTTCGCCTACACAGCACCGGCCCTCTGGAATGTTCTTCCATATGACATCAAAGACTCTGACAGTTTTGATAGTTTTAAAGCAAAACTGAAAACCCACCTTTTCTCAGTATACTTCTCATAACTTCACCCATCTTCATCTTTGTAGCGCTTTGAGCATACCCAAGGGCGTGGAAAAGGCGCATTATAAATGTGCATTATTATTATTATTATTATTAAGAGATATGGTGAAAGTGGATCTCCTTGACGACAGCCTCTATAGATGTTGAAGTTTGAAGAACCAAAACCATTAACTAGTACACTTGAAGTTATATTTTCATAAAATACACGTACCCAGCTTTTGATGGAATCTCCAAAATTGAATAAGGTGAGTGTTTTTCGATGAATGAC